GCTCCCCACGCAAAAGCTGGTTGGCTAGCAAATGTGTGCCTGAGAAAGATGATCTCTGCTGCTGATGAAATGACTAAGCACAGGAAATAGGGGTGTCTGTCTCCAGAGCTCTAACTCCATTGTCCGCAACCCTGGCTTCTACTTACATAACTCCAATCCACTTTGGCCTCCCTCTGCGGAGCCCAAGGTGAGTGGCTGTGCATGAAGTTTTGTGTGTTGGCCCTTTAAGTGGATGCCTGCATTTCCAGCCATCTCTCTCTGGTAGACAACAACCCTTCTGCTTTTCACAGCCAGATGTTATGTTGGCAACTTTCTTAGTTCTGGTGCTCTTTGCTGGGGTGCCCAGCTTGGAGTTTAGACCCCAGAGTCCTTGGTTGGAACCCCCCACAGCTGAAATGTCCCTCCAGAACTTCAGCTGCTGTCTGTGGGTGCCTGGCCAGCCCTTTTTTGGCCTCCAGTCTCTATGTAGTCTCCAATTCCCTTCTTTGGTTTTCAGGGTTCTCTCCAGTTAGTCCTCAGTTGATTATTCAAGATTTCTTTTTTTGTATTTCAGTTATAATTCCAGAGTGGTCTTGGGAATGTGCCAGTGTAGCATCCATTTACTCCCCCTTGGTTTTGTTAAATACTTAAATGTTTTAAATTGGGGTAAAATAAAAAACAAAGTTCACCATCTCCACCATTTTTAAGGGTAGCTAATGACAACTTTTAAAACCCTAATGAGTAAAAACATTAGACAGAGTCTAAGAGGATAAAGACTTTTGATTTTTGGATTTAGAGGAATCCACATAAATACAAAATAAGCATGCCATCATCTCTCTATGAGATAGAAGACATGATTTCTCAATTCCATATTTATGTATGCTAGGATTTGTCAGAATCCTCAGACAAATGAACATGGACAAATAAATTTGTAAGCCAGATTTTAGATTCCCAATTCCTGCCTATGCCAATGAATAAATAGGTAGACCATAAAATAGAAGCTCAGATTCTAACTGTCACCAGTGTGGATAGTAATTGACTATCAATAAATCAGAATTAGAAACAAAATTAGATTTGGCCAGAACCAGAAAGAACACATAAATCCATGCATGAGACCACCAGAGGAGCCTGGGAATGTTAGCCAAAAACTCAAGAGGTCCAGGGCTGGATAAAAGTCACTTTTCAAAGAAAACTGAGAAACATTTTCTTAGTCATTTTGCACACAAATTCATTTATGTGAAGGAGAACAGTCAGTAGTTGTCCAGAAACAAAGCCAAAAACAGGATGTAGAAGAGTGAGTAAAGAGGAGAAACTATAGGCAATCTGGAAACAGTGAGTCATATTTACATATTTCTCTTTTTTTAAAAAAATATATTTTTATTGATTTTTTTTTACAGAGCAGGAGAGGTATAGAGAGTTAGAAACATCAATGAGAGAAACATTGATCAGCTGCCTCCTGCACACCCCCTACTGGAGATGTGCCCGCAACCAAGGTACATGCCCTTGACTGAAATCGAACCCGGGACCCTTCAATCTGCAGGCCAATGCTTTGTCCACTGAGCCAAACCAGTTAGGGCTTCATCAGATTCTTATGTAGAAATTAGGTATGGCACTGACACAGGTCATTTGAACATGAAGTTTTTTTATGCTGCGATGGAGAAACCCTAAAGACCAAGGCCATTCATTTCATCATGAAGTAAGCAGAAGAAACAGACGCAGAATAACTTGACTTTTTAGCTACTCTGATAAGTATGTGTGTGTGTGAGGTTCCCTGAGGGTGTGAGGCATATTTATATGTGGGTGCTATGGGGTGCTGATGGAAAGCCCAGCTGTTGGGTATAGAGTAGAAGGCTACTGTGGTCACTCTCTGGGCAGGGCAGGGGCCCAATAAAAAGCAAAGGCCACAATG